AATAGTCTCGTCTCCTCTAAAACATGTCCTAAGAACTAGAAGCGGCGATTCGTCACCTCTAATTTAATTTACTGCTTGTGAAAAACAAAAGTATCAAGTTACCTTTGTAACTAAACATGAAAATATCTCGTTCATTTGCATACTACTAACTCATGAACTGTTTCAAGCCTCAAAATCCTCTGAGCCTAACCCACAGAAAATGTCAAAGTAAACCCAATATATGAATACTTCCTCCTCTTTTATAGAAGAATAAATATGGCCGTTCTGAACTCTGTCGGGATCAAATCTCCTCACATTCCATTTACCTTTACAACAAGAAATTTGATTGGCTGTTTATGTATTAGATCCAATCTGATTGGTGTGACATACATACATCTCTCACTCACTCACTCACTCACTCACTCATGCATTGACCTGTCCATAACATACCCGACACGCCGACTAAGAGGTATTTTTTTCCAAAAAAATAACTCAGAAATTAACTTCATTATCTACATTCAAACTCCATCATCTTTATATCTGAGAAACAAGTCCTTTTTAGTGCAGAATGCACTATTGGGATGCTTTTGGGGGCTGCCTGCTGCTAATGCGCTGAGTTGTAAACTTTAATGTTTGTTTAATTAATTAATTTCAATTAATTAATTAGTCTAGAAACAAGGAAATGGTGGGGGTGAGCTGGGAAAGGTACACGTGTACCCTATGTAAAATGTGTTATATCTACATCAGTTAGGAGTAAACATTGCAGAGCTATGTATTTGTTTCATGTAACCCCTTGCTCTCCGTGTGGTACTATTCTCTTAAAAACAAAACCAATTTGCTCTAAACTTATGCACAGATTAGTTAGTGTTTGTGTCTTCTATACATTAGGTGGAGGATATGTTGCATACGGGATAACACACAAATGTTGAGTAGTTTTCTTTACGGTAGAACCCAACATGTAAGAGGCATGCGTTCCAGCATTGTACCCTTCTTCTCTTCTTCCTGGGCGACTCACCTCCTTCAATTCTGAAGATTCTAGTGAGCGTATAAATAAAAAACTACAAATTAAAATAAGGCTAAAATGCTATAATAAAAACTAAATAATAATAATAATAATAGCAATAATGATGATAATAATAATAATAAAGTCAAAGTCAATGTAGTTTGGTTTGGCCTTGGTCAGGCGGCAGGCTTTTCTTGAAGGCCGTCAAGTTTGGTGCATTTACTGTTTCATTGGCCAGGCTGTTCCACTCTCGTATCGTTATATGTTCCACTCTCGTAAGTGTTATATACTACGTTTCCACGTGGTTTTTTATGTCAGTAATGTCAGGTACTAGGTACCACCACTTGTCCCTTTTTAGTGCAAAAGTTAGACGTATCTTTTAGAATTACCCACAGTTAGGTCGGTTCAACAAATATCATCTGGTGTTTTCAAACTACAATAGTATGTTTGTCAGGGTTTAAATAGAGAAGGGAAATGTGAAGTTTTTCTTTAGTGGCTTATTTATTTCTTGCCTTAACTGCGTCTGTAAGAGAGACCAAAACGTTTGCGAGTTACTGGCTTTAATATTCTGTAAATTGTAAATTTGTGACAAAGGAAACCATGAAAGTGCTCAAATATTGCTGCAGACTCTGTGGCACCTAATGAAAGCGCAAATTAATTTAATCAGTCTTTGAGGAGACTCGTTCAAGTAGCACTGTTTACCTTCAATACTTCTCATTGAAATGCTTCCCAGTGGTATCAATCGATATTGTTGTGTATTAATTTTGAATTGTTTTATTGTTAACAAAGGTGGAAACAGAAAAAGAAAGTGGTATTCTGTGACTATCTGATAATTAAATTAGTTCTTGTTCATCTGTGAAAAAATTTGTGTTTTGAGAAAAAACAAAATTGTTTCTCTTCCATTTCTTCATCAGATATTTAACTTTCTTTTATCCCCCCAAAACAAGCTCATCCTCCATGTGTTTTGGAGAAAACAAGAGTTTCATGTTACATACCTTTGCGAGGAAAACAAAAGTATCAAGTTACAAAGTTGGTGTGAAGAGCTAAATTGTCACATTTGTTCAGTGTGTTATTGAATTTAAAATGAATGAAAAAAAATGAATGAATTTAAAATGAATGAAAATCATCGCAAAACACCAGAGTGATCACACCTGATCAAGCAGAAGCCTTCTTTTTCAACTATGGATATCTAGAAGCCCAAAACTGTTACCACATTTTAGAACTGATGTTGGCTGTTCTCATCTTCTTACTGGATAGTATGTGCACACAAAAGAATGTGGATTCAACTTGATCACTTGATTAGTTTGCACCAAAGCCAACTTTCATTTTGTTTCTTTGAACAGGCCCTGGATGTTATAAAACAGATTCCATGGTAAAAGAACTTTAATTTATTAAATGAAATCAAAAAGTATGGGTTTACTGACCGTGTTCACCATTCCCACTCATAATCTGTAAATTAGTTGTGTTCCTCCGTCCATAACTGATGTGCATGAAAGTAATTTTGGCCAAATGGAGAATAAACATGAGGTGCTTGAACTGGATCCATACCTGAATTAACAAAAACAGCAAGCCACATACACTATGCACCTGCATGTTTGGCTTTAGATAAATCTTGATCACTGTTACGAACATGAAACTGCTTTCCTTTGGAATTCATCCAAAAGAAACCTGGTTTAAGCAGGCCCCAGGAACTTTCATTCTTACATGTTTCTTTAGTTCATCCAAACTAACATCTTGAGGTATGTCATGGATTGTTATCACAGAGCCATCCACTTGATTGGAAGAGAGATTCACTCCAGCGACCACACCGCATTGATGTCGCAAGCCCTATAACAAGACATGTACAGCATTTTATAAAACTGCTTAGCAGGTTTATACCAAAGACCATTTATCACAAATTGGGATGGTAGTGAAACGGGCTATTGAGCAAAGGGAAAAATGAACAAACTGACCACGGAAGTGCCAGTCCACAGCCAAGTGTATCGGAACACTGGATTCATGACCATTTTTAATTCTTGAGAGGTATTCAACCAATACCTGCTCCATCCCACTGTTATTAACAATTAAAAATAATGAACTCGCCTTGGACTGTTTTGTAATGTAATAAATGTTGTCCAATACGATCTCATCAATGCTGCAAGGTTCCAGTGAATCGGCCAAGACCTGTTTGATGCTGCATTTCATCTCTCTTGGATCTCTTGTGATCAGATGGTTAAAACTTAGCGGCTGTCCAATCACTTTTCCATTTGCAGTTTTGGTAAACAACACAACTTCTCTACTAGTCTCCATAACTTCATCTGGAAATGGAAGCTGGGATATATTCATAGCAATAATAAACTGGGCATCTGCCTCTGAATCTGCCATGTTTACGATCTTTTCACCTTGATCACATGTTTTGCATGGCAGGCCTGGTTACATAGCATGTTGAAAGATGGTCGTAAAATGTTGGCTATGCACATAACACTGAAAGCGGGTGTCAACAGTCACTCAATTTCTTACTTAACGTCATGACATCAGTCAGTGTGTATCATCTTCTCTTCCGACTACAGAGTTTCACTTATTTGCATCTTCATTCATCCAAAACCAGCCCATCTCCCAGTACAGTACATGGATGCCATTCTTCCTAATCTCTCTTGTTACAACTGCTGTTTTCATTATCCTGTACAGGTGTACATTGTTTTACGTTCCATGTCCCTCTCATTATGATAGACTAGGGAGAAGCCAACAACCTTGTCACTGAACAGGTTTCCTTGAGGCTTACACCTGCTCCCATCATCAGTCTATCCTCCCATGTGATAAAATCATCATCTGGAGTCGGGCAAGTAGTTGTGCTGCTGTTTCAAGAAGATTTATCAGTTTTGGTAGCAAGTAACTTTTACTCAGCAAATGTTGTTTTTTGAGTATAGGTAGGACATTGACTTTCACTCCTACACTTGCTTCTTCCTTCTGTCCTTCAATTTCTTTTTTTTTTAACAAAATCTGCTGACCAGTGCATAAAGCCGCAGTTGCTTGCATGCCAAAGTCAGTGGTGGTGAAGCGTCTTTTTTGTGAATCGTTTAGAAGGTATGTTTTGTGACTGTTTTTTTTTTAATTTAAGCTGTAACTGGCGAGCCAGGTCATTGAAAGCTGACTGATCATATCAACTGACTGCACTAGGACACAAGTTACGAATATGGACTCACATTATGCGGTTTTGTAATATAGATAGAACCCAGCACATGCTCTGATTGGTCGAAAACCCTTGTTTTATCAGAGTATAAAACGTAGAAAAAGCGTGTTTTATTGTTTTTCGCCACATTACCTCTTGAGGCTCATGTTTTCTACATTTCCCTCATGTTCTCAAATGCTCATCATGTTTTATCACAGTATAATACATGGCTTACGCTTCTTTACTTGTTAAGTAAGGACAGATTGCCATGGCCTTTACTTTGTAAATCTGTGTAACACTGGTGGTAATGCAGGGTGCGAGAAAATACTTCTGTCAGGCTAGCATATTTTGAGTTTAAAATCAAAATAATTTAAGTTTTATTTACTAGGTGAATTGCCAATGATCAAAAGCTTCAGATTATTTAAAGATACAAAATGAACACTGAGATAACTGCAGGAAATAGTTTATCATTAGGAATGCATGCATCAATCAAACAAGGGAAAAAGTGAAAGGAAACATGAAAGGAAAAACAAATGTAACAATTCTCATAGTCTGGGATTTGAACCTGGAACTCCTGATCAAGCTTATGACAGGGTGAACATTTCCCAATATTAACAACTTTACCAGGTGGCCCCAGTGACAGTATTGCCCTTCAATCCCTCCAGTTGAAGAAGATTTATAAATTGTGCATTATTAAGGCCCGGTATAAGGATAATCCTGGTAATATTGATCACAAATGTGCTAATAAGCGCAACAATGGGTTTCAACTTGCAATGCAACAATGTTGCAAGATGGGTTGTAGGAAAATGTTGCCCATATTACTGGACCTTTATTCAAGGGTGTTTACTCTACGTGTCAATTTGTTTACAGGCAATATTCTCCATGTGTGTGAATCCAGAAACATTGCTGAAGGACCGCAGTGGTCACAGGTAAAATTATGATGGTATGGTAGGTCCCATTAAAGGAACTGTGTCACAAATTTTAGAGATAAGAAAATTGCCACCAAATTGAGTGAAATATAATTATAACCACTTAAAAGAGTGAAGGAACATTTCAATAACACAACAAATCTGAAAGAAGGTGTGGATGGACAAAAATTGAACAAGACTAAAATGGATTGCGATTTGGGCTTTTGGAAAACTGTTAGACTGAGCAGTTTTCAAAGTTGATCTTATTTGTTTGTCACCTTTAATTATAATACTCAGGACAAATATTTGTTTATAATGAAGAAACAGTTTTTAAATTTAAATCCATAAAAGTAATTTCTTTGCTAACATTAATCTTCCTGGATAGTATTTTTTGGCAAAACTTAAGAAAATAGACTAAACTAAGGCATGACAAAGCCCCTTTTATAGCATTGCTGTAGTGATTATCCATTTCATGAGTTTAAGTTTGACAGTCTCTAGTTTGAACAAAAGTGTTGAATTGGTATTGTTACCATCTAATAGCACTCTGGCTTACCTAATTGTATTATTATTTTTTATTTTATTTCATTGCAAAACACATAATTACTTACATTGTACTTACTCTACTTACAATACGACACTTAAGGTATCATGGTAGGTGGATTGACAGTGTTTGGAAATCGTGCTCTTATGCTGGCGCTTTGAAAGAAAACCCCGTCAACCTATACATTTTTTGAAAGCTTAATAGTTATCGAATACAATCATATCTTTGAAATTTTCTAAAAAAATATTGTCGCAGTGATATTAAAAGAAATACCCAGAAACACTGCTTCACTTAAACTGGTTCGCTTCTGCACATGAATTATCGGAGTGGCGCGATTTACATCGGAAATGTTTTCTCACACATCACCCTCAAAAATCGTGTCTGCGATTTTCCAGATGTGGTTTGGTTTTTTTTTCTACACCCTCTTAAACTTTGATATTTTTAATGCGGACGTTTCCTTCTACAAAAGAGGCCATAACTTTGAAACGGAAGCGAAATTAAACAAAGCCCGACACGGTTTTTCGA